ATATGATTAAAAAACCCCTATTTTAAACAAGTTCCAGTTAAAGCAGAATCTCACCAGTATTTCGTGAATTAATTACAACTCTTAACTAATAATAAAGTTTATGGTTTTATATATGAAGATATTTTATGCTGTATAAGCTGTATGCGATATGGATCCGAACCAGTTTTTATTCAATTTAAGAACCAATTTAAGCTTAAACTTTGACTCTTTTTATACCCTTTTAGGGGGTATTATAATTTCATCATAGGAAACGTCTCCGACCCGAAAAGATATATATATTCTAGATCGGCATCAACAGTCGAGTCATTATACCCATGTCCATCTGTCTTTCCGTCTGTCTATCTGTTTTTATGCGAACTAGTATCTCAGTTTTTTTTTTATATTAAGATAAAAACGAATTCGGCATTTATGAATTTTACTATACGCCCTCTATTTCATATAGCTGCCATAGGAATGATACGTCGAAAAGTTGGTTCTGATATGGAAACTTTTTTTTATAACAAAGTTTTTTGACCCAACTCGTGATTTATTAGATCCACTATGATCCTCATATTCACATTCATTTTACAATTATCTTATATCAATATATGGCATATAAAAAGCAACGATTGGTTATTTGGATCTATGGCTATGATATTAATGTCAATTTTTTTAATCTTGAGCCTTTATTTTAGACTTAAACATTTTATTCATTTTGTGTTTAATTTCTATACAGAAATAAAAATTACAATTTATTTAGATATAAAATCGGACAGGTAATTACTTTCACTTCGTTTGATTAGTTATTAGGAAAAATGCTGCAAAACTCGAAAACAATTCAAGAGTGTTAATCGGTTTCCAAGCACAGTTAAGTCCGTTCTCTTAGCCGGAACACATTTCCGACAGCCCAAAAACCCAAATTCAAGCAAATGCTTGATGAAATGAAAGAATATTTAAAGCAAAACGTGAACCTCTTTCAAAGCGAAAGATTAGCTACGACTTATGCGTTAACAACGGCAACATAAGGCCAACTAGTTCATGAAGCTCTGAAGGATAATTGAAAATGTTGTCGCCGAGTTTATTATAACAAATCCTGGGCCCGAGCTCATATAACAGTTCGTCGTTGTTGTTGCTGTTGTTGTTGTCAGGACAACAAATCCCATAAACAGTACTGATTGCATTTCATTTAAGTAATGTCAAATGTCATCTTCGAATTCCGCGCTGCGAACATCTACAAATAAACAGGGCAGGGGGGGGGGGGGGGGGACAAAAAGTTGGCCCGTAAGCAGAGAGATTACTGTACACAGCCTGCGCCGGCAGCCAGGCGACGGCTGTAAGCAATTTGTGGGAATAGGCATTGCGAATTGCTTTTGTGCCATTAGCAAACTGTTTGCACTCAGCCACAAACCAAACACAATTGATAACAACAAGAAAAACCCAACAGATCCGAGTGGCCAACTAAAGCTGTTGCAAGCTGCAATTCGTATACCCAATTTCCAAATTCGGAAACGGAACACCGGAAAATCGAAAAACTTTTATTTTTTGGTAAATGTTGTAATTGATTTACAAATGCAAATGTTTTGCACACGTGTTTCAAGGCGACCGCTGACACATGCCCCCCTATTGAATGTTATCCCCTTACCATACCTTACTCCCTCCCCTTGCCTGTACTTTAAACTGTTTTAGTGTTTCCTTGGCCTCCCCTCCTGCCCATAGTTATACTGGAGCTATACAATTTCAGGCACGTACCGAATTTCTCGCTTATCTTTAGAGCAGGCCTTTTTATCTAGTCGAGCAGTTGGTTGGGCGTCGAGTTTAAATTTTCCTTTGTTAGTTGTAGTTGTTGCTGTTGATGCTCTCTAAAACAGAGTTAAGTGCCAGAAGAGCACACACAATTTGTATGTTCGTATTTAGCAGCAGTTGGGGCTAATTGAATCCCAGCTGATTCGCCGTGTATAAATTTTCAATTAGCTGCAACTAAGTTATTCTCTTTTGTATATGTAATAGGATTTCTATGTTTACCTTTTCCTTTTATTTAAATATTAAAATACTGCTCACTACAAGTGCAGCTTTACAGAGCGTCAAGGAAAGCCTTTTTAGCCGGGACTCACGGGCGCTAGCGATTTATTCAGCATTGGCAGCTTTGAATCTTTAAAAAAATATTTAAAATTATTTTCTTTTAAAAGAGAAATAATAATTCTGACAGTTTTATGGTTTAAAATGCTGCATTTTCGTGTCTGAAATATAAACCGAATTCTCTTTGAATTATATCAAAAATTAAAATTACCTAATTCTTTTTTCGAGTTAAATTTCGCTCAGTTCTTAGATTTCACTCGACAAAGGTTGAATGCATATTGGATGGATTAAACAAATTATTTGTTGCCTTAACAGTTGTTATGTCCTCTTTTAACAGAAACTCGTTATATTTTTGTTTATACAAAAAATATGTCTACAGTTTTTTCAAAATACTTTTACCGACCATATTTAATCTTCTCATGACAGCTTATATGTTAGTTTTAAGTTTTTTTATACTCTCGTTGAGGGTATAATAATTTTGTCATGAAATGTGTAACGCATAGAAGCCGACAAAGAAACGAGCGGTCGAAAAGTGGGATCTAGTAGGAACAACTTTTTTTCAAGATATGTTGACAAAATATATCATATAGCTGAGATATAAACGATCGGTCCAAAGTAAACTCTCGTATGTGCAACTTTTTGTTTTTCAAGATATCTTGACCATGCTCGGCAATTATTAGTTTCACTTTGTACCCTTCACTATAAACTATAAACTATAAACTATACTATCAGATATCTGGAAGACCGTAAGGCAAATGTCTAAAATATACAAATAAATACTTATTTATTCATTTCATAATTTTTTGTAAGTAAAAATAGGGCTTTCTCAAATTAGAATACTTCGCCAATTAAAATTAACTCTTAAACCGAATCATTCTCATTTTAAAGCACCCACTGTTTAATTTTCTTGTTTAAAAAACTGAAAACAATATAAGATTAAACATTTGTGCACACATTTTTTTCACAAACAAATAGGGCCCTTTTCGTAATTCAGGGTAGAAGTCATGTAAAATTAGATTGGATGTAAATTTGTGTAAAATTATTGGAATATGCTGCAAACAATTTGAGTTTTTTCCTAAGGCATGTCTTATTAGCCATTAGCCTTAACTGCTTGAGAATTGTAAACAGAGGAATTTTTTAACTCAATTCTTTCGCATGGAATTTGTCTGAAGCTTTTCCAATTTTGAATTGTTGTTGAGCCAATCGCATTGACGCTGACAGATTCCGCTCACATACTTTTACTGTAGTTTTAGTGTCCACAGTAAATTTGGTTTGTCAGCAGACGTTGCTGAGCGATGTGCTTGTCGGCTGGGGGGGTATATGTCGAAGGGAGGAAGGGAGGGGCATGACGGGGGCGCGTTCCGGTCTAGGATCCCAGCACGTACGACAGATGGAAATGAAGCTGGAAATGGCAAAAGAGCTATAAGCACGCCCACTCTCTCTCTCACTCTATCTCTCTCTCTCTCCCTCTTTCTCGCCTCCTCTTTCTCTATCGGCCTCTCTCTCTAGAGCTGTTTGCACGCGCTTTGGCGTTTAATCAGCTGGCGCTAAATAATTTTGTTGATAAAATTTGATCAAATTTTAAAAAACTTGTCTTCGTCCGGCGTTTCGCTAGGCTATTTTTTTTATGTATGTGTGTATTTGTGTGTGTGTGCGTGTGCGTGTGCTTGGCATCAACTTGCGAATTCTAACGAATTTTAAATGATTTCATTTCTATTATATATTTCCAAAAGATCTCTCATTTTGTTGCTGTCTTAAACACATGTTTTCCCCTTTTCTTGTTTATTTGCCTCCAACTGCAGTTAACAAGTGAGATAGATTTAAATAAAATATATAAATACAGCTGTTATACGCAGCTATAGAAGGTATATTTATCTGCTGGCTTATATAGCATACACTACCAAACAAATATTTGAATTTTATTTATACCCGTGATGTGGGTGTTTTATTTGTTTCCAAATTGAAGACGTCTATAAAAACGTAAATAATATGTGTTTATTCTGGTTCAGAATTCGATTCGATATACCTCAATTTTTGCTAATAACGAACTGTTTTTAGATTTACATGCGATATCTATATGCCACAGTAAATCCTATATCAGACTCCGATAGAAACTTTACTTCCATATAGCTCAGCTTTATAGTTGTTAGTATTGTAAATTTAATTATAATCAAAATATTTTCCAAGTCAATTTCCCGCCGCTTCTCGGCTTTTATTCTATTTAATTCGTCGTGCTTCCGCTTTAAATTTGTTTCAATTAATTATGTTCAAAAATAGTTTCTTTATTGTTAAAATTCAACTGAACTTTTAACATAATTTTAAAGAAATAATTTATAGAGTGTTGCAGATAAAACTTTTGATAAAAATAAAAGCGCAGCGTGAGAAATTGACTCTAGATTTTACTAACTTTATTAAATGAGAATCTTCTTGTAAAGTTTATTATTAAAGTATATTATTTATATTTGCTTTCTAAATGCAGAATATTTAAAGAAAACAACAAATTAACTATATAAATAAATTTAACTTCACTTTCCTTTCGTCTAGAATATATTTAAGAAAAAGAACAACAATTTTAGGCACGAGTAGAAAATTCTATGCTCTATAGTCGCACTCAATTCATGTTGTCCAGTGTTGAAATTGTCTGCAGACGTCTGGGCTACGGCAATAAGCGCCAGAAATTTGTATATATTGAATATAGAAAATCGGGCGATTATTTCCGCCGCCAATGAGTGAAACATTCTCTTGCAAGAAGAAAATGGTTTTTTTCACGCCAACATTTTGCAATCGAATTTTCCAAAATATTTATCAAATATTTATGCAGTGCTTGGCATTTAATTAATAAAATTGTGAAAAAGGCAGTGCAATAAAAAAAGAAGAGAGTTGAAATTAAAAAAAAAAAGCTGTTGTTTAACAATATGATAAAAAACAATTGTAAATTGTCGCACCTTTCTGCTGAGCTGCTTGCAATATCAGCAAAATATTATTATTATTATTGTATTTGTATTTGTTGTTGTTTTTTACGGCTGATTATTTCGGTTGTTGAAGCGTCTTTGCGCCGGTTTTTATTTGTTGTTGCCGTTGTTGTTGTTGTTGTTGTTGTTTCTGATGCTTCAGCTGTTGTTTTTCTTGTTGATTGTACGCTTTGTTAAAGCCAATTTAAGCTTTTAATCAGCGCTTTTTTTCGCACTCACACAGACACATAGACGGAGGCACACGCACACGGACAGACGCGCCGTTTGTGCATTTGTTTTGTACCAACTAACACTCAATTTGTTGTTGCCTTTCAACGCGTGCCAAAAAATTCCAGTTGAGAATTTCGTTTTTTTTTTTTATATTTTTCAAAATATTTTTTATCACGCACGCCGCCTCGACGTCGATACGAATGCGTAGTAACTGTAACTGCCGACGTAGAGCAACATCAACAGCAGCAGCAGCGTTTGCCGAGCGTGTGAACAGAACAGCGTCGTCTGCGATACTTGTGCGAAAAAAATTTGCTACAAAAGATGCCGCCAATACTTGACGTTTTCGCTCAAACAGCGTCGCACTCAACGTGTGTGCGCTGCGACCGGTGTGAGCGATTAAGTGAGTGAGTGAGAGGTGTGAGGTGAGCGGCCTGTGTTCGTGTTGCTGCTGGCTGTGTGCGGGTGGCACATGCTGTGCATACGTCATTGATTTTGGCGCGCTGCCAACATGTTGCAGTTCGTTCTATATTGCGCTCAAACCATTTGGTTGTGGCTCGCACACGTTCTTGTTTGGCGCTCGCGCAAACTGTTGCCTTTTTTCGGCCGTGTGTACGTGTGTGTGTGTGCGTGTGTGTGTGTTTAGGCTTGGAGCAGCGCGCGTTTATTTGCCTTGGTTTCAGTTTTCGTGCATGGCATGCGAAATTGCTTGAGTAGGTTGGTAGGTCACTGCCTTGTCGCTCTCTGTGTGTGTGTGAGTGTGTGGCGCTCCTTTGCGCTCTATGTGTAAGTGTGTGAGTGTGTGAGTGTGTGAGTGTGTGTATGTGCGTGTAACTTGTCTATGTCTGAGCTTAAGTTCATTAACGGCGCTCGCTTCGCGCAACAGTTCCACGGCATGCGCTGCCTGCTGCACATAACCTCACTCACACTCACATATGTATGTATATTTACATGACTGTTAGTTAGTTGTAACAGATACTCACTCACACCGACACACACACACATTTTCGGTAGCGATTGCCGTCGCGTCTATTCGGCCTGTAGCTTATTCAATGAATGGCAGCGAATTTGCACAGTTGACGTTGTTGTTGTTGTTGTTGTTGCTGTTGTTATTATTTCCTTTTTTGGGTGCGGTCTCCCCCAATACAAATCTGCGACCAAAGAGCTGATGATATTATTTGCACGTGCTTGTGTGTGTGTGTGTGTGTGTCTGTGGATTCTATTTGATGAAAAATCATATAAATAAAACGAGCTTTAACAGAGAAAAAACAATAATGCGAAAAAGGGTTTATTTTGATTGGTTTCTATAGCCTTAAGCAAATGAAATTGCTAGAAAACCTTCCACTTTGAACTTTCCCCCAAACAATCAAATCAACGTTCGAGTTGGGCTTTTTATACGCACTTTTTTCTTATCAGCTTTCAAGTATTAATTTGGCTTAAGTTTCTTATTTCAATAAAGAAAGGCTAAATACTTTATAAAATCGTTTAGTTTCTTATATTATCTTTAAAGCAAATTAATTAAATAATGAATCCTGAACCAAATGGAAAAAAAAATTAAAATAATAAAGTTTGGTTCACTGTCAGATCTACTACATCAAGATCTAATTCAAAAATCAAGTTACATTAATTTGGGAGAGAATTTGTTTTTTATATATGTACATCAAATCTAAAGTTTGAGGAAAGAGTGCTGGAACTACTAAAAATAGATTTTAATCTTACCAACACTTAAATTTGGCATCTCTTGTTTGTCTAAGCTTTGAGGGAAAATCATAAAAAATGTAATCAAAAACGAAAAACTGTGTTATCAGTAATATCTTATACAGCTTATAGTAATGCAGCTTATAGAGTGCTTACGTTGAGGGGAGTATTTACAATTTAGGGGTTATGGACATTACCGAATAATGTAAAGGATTGAAATAATTCGCCTAGGGTTGTGTCTTTTGGAGACACCTCTCTGCAATGTAAAAATATATATATTTTCCAAAGTTAACCTATATTTAAGTGAATGTTCACAAGTTCCTTACAAAAATTGAAACTACGCAACTATTCTTCTCTATATATAAAGTTATAAAAAGTTCTATATGAAATTATAAAAAATGGGTAGAATTTTTAAAAAGAAGGGAGAATGGTTGAAGGAAGCTGGATGGAAAGACGGGATATTGTGGATTTTCAACACTACAAAATAAATACTAACTATTTTTTTAAGTAAAGATATATATTTTCCTATTTATTTATTTTTAGCTTAGTAAATGAAAAATTTTATTAACTTATAAGAACTTCAACTAAACAGAGAACATAAAACATAAAGAAATGTAACTTTATCAGTTTTAAACAATTCATTATTTATGCTTATGTTTAATCAGTGTACTTTTTGGGAGATTGTTTTGAAACTTTAATGATCTATTGAAAGGGTCGATGCATAATCAGCTCTATGAGTTCCAACAAAAAAGGCAAATGATATCGTAAAGATCTGCCCGCCACATTTATACAGCTTTATCCCTTAATGTCCGCATACAATTTATACAATGAATGGAATTTAAAGTTGTTGAAGAGTTGGGTAAATAATAATTATTATGTGCGTCAGTTGGCTGTAATTATTGTCGCTGTGGTGTGGGTTGTGGCTGAGGGTGTGAGTGTGTTGCTGTGTGTGTATGGTTGTGTGTGCGTGGTTGTGTGTGTGGTTGTGTGTGCTTGTGGCTATGTGTCTGACAATGTATGGCACTTTGGCGGCTATTTTTATGGCCACACAGTTATAACCGTGTCTATTGCCGTTGGTTGGTCGCTAATTAAGTCCGTTTTCTAACTGCCCTCATGCACATTTTGGCTGGGGGTCTCATTAACAGCAAATCCCAAATTAATTGGGTATTAGACACAATGCATTACCGGCTAAGCGAAAAGTGTTGCCATTGTCGCAGGCTAGGCCTAGACTCCAAATCCAGCTCCACTCAGCTATAAAATGCGCAAATGGGGCGTGTCAGCAGCAGCAGCAGCAGCAGCAGCAGGAGCAGGCGCCCATAAAACGAAGCGAATGTATTATAAATAAAAAAGCAAGCCAAAAGCGACTGCCAACTCGCTTATTGATTCTCTGGCAGCAGCAGAAGCCCTGGCAGCCACCCAAGGGCCATTGGCCCATAAAAATATTAATGCAGTAAAAACTGAAATAATTCATATGTTTGGAACACAGCTATCCCGCTCCCTCTCTCTATATGCATATATGTATACTATCTATATGTTTAATATTGAAGAATATTTTTTTATTAAGGCACATTTTGTGCATTGTTGTTGGCTTCCTCTACAAATGCAGATATACATACATATATGCATCAAAGTCAGCAAAAATTCAAGTTTCTGTTTGTATTTCAAAACTGCAGACACCAAAACAAACAACACAAAAGCGAAGTCTAGGACGTGGGGGAGGGATTGAGGGGATGGGGGTGCGGCCCCATAGAGAGACATAAATTGGCATTTTGTCCAGCCGAGGCAGAAAATGTTTTGTTTATTATGGGGTCGCATCTATTTGCCTGTTTGTCCAGGCTCAAAGCTCCTTTTCAGATTTATGCGGCAAAGTTTTGACAACAATTCGCATGCCCTTATTAAATGCAAATTGAAATTTTAAATTCAAGCGAGATACTTTTTCTGAAATGAATTTTTAAAATTTCTATGACTAACAAAATTAATTAATTAATTTAGGCAAATGAGTTTGCAAGATTTGGGAATTATATAAATATATTATAACTAATCGGATTTTAAAATCCAAATGCTTGAACTTTAATAATAGTTTCTCCTTTTAGATATATTTTTCGAAAGCTAAGACAAAGTAACGATAGTTAGTCTAAGCAGAGACACAACAAATTTAAAGGAAAATAAAAACCGAATTTCGAACTTATTTTCTTATGTTCTTACAAGGGCTTTTATAGTTTTTTATTATAGTATTTCAAAAGATTTTGTGGTATATAGTATTTTGACAGATACGTTTTATAATGATCCGAATCTACCGAAAGCAACAAACAGAAAGACATGTCTATGGAAGTTCGGAGTCTTATTGGTTTTTTTTTTATAATAAGGCCCCAATCTTTTATTTATTTTTCTACCTATCTATCTATATATCTATCCATCTATATCTAACTAATCCATCTATCTTTCTATCTATCTACTTATTTATCTTTCTCTTTCTATCTATCAGTTATATAATTTTTTTATTTTTATTAAATTCAAACTAAAAAGAAGATATACCTTCATTTAATATGATTTTCTCAATAGTATATTTCTTTGCAAAAATTTATTTCAACTTCAACACAAATCAATTTTTCTTTTTCTCTTATTTAGTAGAGAGGGTATTAAAAATGCTATTTTTGGCATCTTGCCTTAAACAATTGTAAATGTTTATTCATAAAGCTTTTTCTATGCACAGGGTGGTTTTTCAAAACATTTTTTAAGCTCACAAAAGATTTAATCCCAGCATTTTCGTAAATTTGTAATAAAATATGATTCAAATATTTGTAAAATTCCAAGATTTATTTCCCAGCTAGTATGCCTTGAACTTAGTGTAGAGCAGCTAACTTATCGGTATTTGGATAACCCGCATGCTTATAGGCAAACAATAAGTAGTCGTCAGTCCATGAGCTGCACCTCCCTTCCCCTTCCCTGTGCCCCATTCAAAGATTCTTCCTGCTGTTTTCATTGGTATGCGTAGTATGCACACTTTGGTGTACAAGTAAATGTACTTAGGACATGCTAGCGATTTATTTGACTTCACTCACAAAACTACACACACACCCACACATACACACATCCGGTGGTGTGCGAGAGTGTGTGCTGCAAATTAACCCAGTCACGTACTGCGCTTAGCCGGGCCTAATCAAATAAACGCGCCAAATTAAACAGCAGCCGCAAAAACAACAACAGGCGACAAGTAAATATATGAGTGCGACACCTCGATGCCAGATTGCACAGGCAAATACTAGACGGCTAGAGAGAGAGCGAGAGAGAGAGAGAGAGAGAGAGAGAGAGGGAGAGAGGGAGACATATTTGTATTTGTGAAGTACTTTAGGCAACGCTCAACAGTATGCTAGCATTTTTGCTTCTATATATACCCTGTAAGCTTTGTTTAGATAGGATTTACTAGCTCTTCGAGATATATCACTTGCATGAATGTATCTCGATTTCTTGAAGCGTTTGAGTAAACAAACGTATTCTTAGCGAATTTATTTATTTTGTAGAAGACAAACAGACACAGCTTAGTTATTTTTAGTTCTTTATTCTTCGTCGCCTTTTACTTGCTTATAATTTGCAAGTGGTTAAAGCTGCGGACGGAAAACAAGGCCTTGCCAGTCGAGATTCAATAGCAAAGTCTGCCTTCAAAATCACATAACTTCTGTTGTAACAATTGCTCGTAAATATTATTTTAACTGTAAAATATATATTTAACCTGACTATAATATAAATATATAAAAGTATTAAAGTTCGGCAGCCCAAAAATAATATTTGCTTAATTTTAATGATTTTTAAAAATTATATTTCTAGTATGATTTATACCTTTAACCTTTTACAGGGTATCTGTGCGCTAGTTCGTACAGCTCTGAGTGCCAATTTCAAAGTAACCCATTTTGTTAGTCTTTTTTTTTATGTTGCGTGCCACATTTTGATAAGTTGTTGCAGCTGACGTCATATTAATTATGGTGGCGCACACACAGAAAATGCGATTGGCCTGTGCCAGAGATTCGATCGGGTCGGGACTCAAATTGAGTGGCACGGCATGAGTGTGCTCGCATCGAGTGGCAGCTTGTCCTGTCTGGGGCACACTTGAGTGCCTGCTGCTGCCCAAATGAGCTCAGAGGCAGAGCAGCTGCCGCGTCAGAGTTGCGCCTTGAGCTGTGGCAACATGCGTTGCCAGCTTGTTTACATTTTGTTGCTGTTGTTGCTTTTGTTGCTGCTGTTGTTGATTCTTTTTAAACATTTTTGTTTACCAGACGGGGCAGCACGTGCTGACAGCGCACCCCATCCGCTGCGCCCCAGCCCCAAGTGCTTCCCGTTCTCCGTGCTGTTGTTGTTGTAGTTGTTGTTGTTGTTGGTGCTTTGGGTATGCGGCAGCACCTGGGGCATGCATATTTTATATGGGCGTAAGCTGTTGGCACTGTCTCAGCGTCTGTCTCAAGCCGCCACTAATCGCAATTGTTGAAAGGGGCAGCACGCACATCATTATTTTTAGCTTTTTTTTTTTATCCATTTTACAGATATCTTATTTTCTGCTCTTCTTCTTCTTCTCGAGCTAATTATTTATTTATATACTTTGGCTTATTCCCAAAACTGGCGCATGTTAATTTCAATTTTGATGAGCAACGCAAATATCTCGAGATTTGCAATTTTCAATTTGGACTCTAGATGTGGCATGCGGCATGTGGCATAATCAACAAGTCTCTTTAGCTGCAACAAAAGGCAGCTTAGCTTTTGGCTTAAATATTCACTTTCGCTTTTGCGGTCACAAAATTGTGTCAAATTGTTTTTGTTGCTGTCGAAGCGAAACACTTGAAACTGTTCGTTGAACACTTTGAAAGTCGACGTTTTGATACCCTTAAAGTTAAGAGTAATTGTGGGACAATGATGCAGTTGGGAATTTAAATAAAATATCTCAAATATTTTAAGGCTTAACGGAACAGAACAAGGTCAAACAGAGTTTGTACCTCAAATTATTTAAGATTCTAGACCTTATCTATTCATTCTAGACCTTATCTATTTATAATATTCGAACATTAAAGGATATTCTTAGCATACTTTTAGGTTGATTTTCAATTGCTAAAAATATTAATAATTAAAGGCTGCGATTGCGGATTCCCAGACTTGAAATACTTTTGTCGTATGCAAAACGTAAACCTAGTAGGAATCTTAAGACAAATTTATAGTATAAGATAATAAGAGAAATATTCTTTAAAAGAATTAATCAGTTATTGGCGAAGTCTAGAAAGATCATAAAATTAGGATTTAAGTGCTTGATAAGTTAAAATTGCGTGTTTTTGATATCTTTTAAATTAAATCATGTATTAAATATATAAATAAATATTTTATGTATATATATTTTATATATATTTATATATACTCTATGTAGAGCTTAACTTCTTAAAATAAAATTTTATTTAAGTATGCTTACAATTTTTACTAATATATGACATTTTTTCTGTTTCCAGTATCAATTGTTTTTACGAAATTGGAAACTATAAGCACGCTAGTGCTAAAAAGTGCCGAGAATTAACTCTTTCTATAAATTCGCTGCTGCCTTACCATTCTAATTCGGTAAGTACTTTAATTTGATTAATTATCTGTATTTCAAGGCTAAGTATTATGCTTGGTAAATGCATCGATGAAGAACCTTTAAAAGCGCGAACGTTTTATGCTTTACCTTAAAACCAGATAAAACTAATTCTAAAAGGTCATCTCATTAGACAACCCGTGTGATTAATTTATTTTTCTTTTGAACATTCATTCATGAATAAAAACCATTCAAATTACGTTAAACATTGTGAAAGCATCGCTAAAAGAATTATAACTCAAAAAATACTCCAGTTATAATGATGAAATCTCGTTTGTGAGGTGGTCAAATGCTTTGATTTTGTGTTCTATTTACATCCAGTGCAAAAAGTGGCCTAGCTCGGCATGTACTGAGGATTTTATGTAATAAAACATAATGCGTAGCTTAAAGTTGAAGTCCATGTTGGTATATGAGCTGCCTCACGATTACAACTCAACGAGTACTCGAGCTATGATGACAAAAATTGGTATATGACCTGGTCAAATACCTTGATTGCTATTTACAACAAGTGTAGGAGGTGAGAATTGAGTGGACCAGCTCTGCATGTTCTCAAGATATAATAAATCATTATATGTAGCTCAAAGCTATACTCCAATAGAAAAATCATATTGATATATGAGCTGCCTTACAATTACAACTCAGCTATGAAGCTAAAATTCGGTTCATGCAAAAGGTGCCTCAGCTCTTCAACTACTGAAAATATAATCATGAAACATAATATGTAGCTCAAAGTTGAACTCCTTGAATCGATACAAAGTAAAGTAAAGGGCTCATGAAGCAATCCACCAATCGCGATTTCTTAATGTTTGTATTTCACAAGGTACTCCCGTCCATAGTGATGCAATTTCGTATGTCGGTTAGTGTTCACCTCCATTGTAAAAGTAAATATTATGACAAGTTGTTGTCTGAGGGCTGAGGCAAAAACTGTCTTAATTAAAGCAGACTTGACAAACAGAGTGCTGAAATATCCCTTCTCCGCGGCTGTCAGGCAGTTAATGAGATTGCCAAGAAATAGAGAGAGAGAGAGAGAGAGAGAGAGAGAGAGAGAGAGAGAGACGCGGCTTTCAAATGTTGCTTAAATAAAATACTTTTGTTTATTTGTTTATTGCACAGAAAAGGTTTCGCTTATTGTCTAAACACAGTGACAAATCACACCCAGTTTTTTTATTTTTTTGTTGTTGTCTGAGACTTGTCCATTCATTCGATCATTATTTTGGTTTTTATTTGCTTAATATGCGAAAGTTACGTATATGTGAGTATGTGTGTGCGTTTGGTTCTCATTTTGGGGACACGCCCACATTGCGTGGACGCCCACTGGTGTGCGGGATTATTAGACAAAAGGATGCCGCGTGCGCCGCTTGGCCTTGACAGGATACTCGTAACCCTCAAAGTCATCATCGAGCTCATCCTGCTCATGATAATGATGGCTGTGACTGCTGCGATGATGCTTCTTCGGCTCCTTATGCTCCTTGACCGGCACCGGAATGGGCAGCGGCACTTTCTTTATGACTGTCTTGGTGTGGATATGCGTGTGATGCTTCACCGGCACATGGATGCGAATTCTGCGAATGCGAATGAATTTCTGAATGTGAATGTGAATGGACTTGAGAGAGATTCTGTTTGCGTTTTGGGCCTGGCTACGTTATGTGCTCTGGTTATGGCTGTAGTCTGTGGACATGTCGTTAAAGGCGTGCCCGTTACACTTACTTAAGCTTGTCGTTTGATGGATGGCCGCTTGTCAGGGCAAACATCATGCATGTGATAAACACAAAACTTAATGCCTGCAAAGAAAAGAACAAAATAAGTAAAGGAAGCTAAAAAAATGTATATAAAAAGTTGATTTGGGCATAAGATTCTTTTTTTTGGTAACTGTGCTATAAGATTTTGATGTGCACGTTAGCTGAGTGTGTGTACGAATACATGGGCTTAGTAAATCTGAAAATATTCTATTAAAAATATAAAGTATCGGTACTTTTGTTTCTTAAAGAATATTCTTTGTTGCGCTAAAATATATCTTTTAATATTATTCAATTCTTCATGAAATACATATTGCTTGAAAAGATAACAAGAGTTCATAGTTGGAAATTTTACTTATAATATAAAAGAGTTTTGTTTTTAATTTTATTTATTTAGCTAACAAATAAGTGCTCTAATAGATGCAAAAAAACTGCTTTAATATTTGGTTATTATATATAAAAAATTGTTATTTCTATTATTTTTATTTTTTTTAATTTATATATAAATATTTCTTTATTTGACTATTTAACACAGTGTCAGCAAAGCACATTTACACGAATCCGCTCAAAAAACGTCTCTTCCCACTTCTCAATACTATCCGGCCAGTGTTGAGTAAATAAGCTATAATTATTAACAGCTCGTTTGATATGTTAGAACCATTTCACAGCACTGAAATCATCTGTATATGTATCTGTATCTGTATCTGCATTTGAATCTTTATAAATGTCTGCATCTGTATCTGTATCGGCATCTTTATATGTATCTGTAACTGTCGGTATCATCTATATCTATAGAATCAAGTTACAGGCTACAAATTTGTATGAATAGAGGGTATGCGATCATCACAGATTTCGTTTGTTTCGTTCTGTCTTGGCCTATGTGTGATAAAAAAAGCTTTAGCGTCTATAAACAAAACAATATAATTAGCATAATGCCCGTTGCCATTTCGATGTTTATGTCTATATTAAGCAGAAGCAAATCTGATTTTGATTGCCGCTGCCGCTGCCGCTGCAAGCCCATGTTGTGGGCGGGGCGCGGCAGCAGCTTAAAGGCCAAATCTAGGCGTAATTACAGTATCAAAGAATATCCCGAAATTCCTCGCCCAGCCGCTGACTTTAAAAGGCAGCTAATAGAAATTCTCAACTGTTATCGATTTTGGCCACAATTCGCAGCTCGACTCAAACAGCCGAGGCAGCCCGAGGCTCATTCAATTAGCAGTTTGTTGAGAAGCGTGCGGCAAAATGAAATTGAAATTGAAATTGGGGGAAATTGGAAAATTGCTTTTAAATGTTTTTGCTCATCACTTTCCAACTCATTAAATAGCATGTTGAGCTGTTCGTCTGGCCATCTGGCCAAAGTTTTCTACAGGGCCAAAAGAGCCAAAGCAACAGCTGCCTCAAGTAATTCACTAATAGACCAAGTATTATCCATGCTCGTAATATAAATATTTAAATAGTTTTCTTATACCAAACAATTGGTATGAAAAGTAGCAGAAATTTATATAAACAAATTCAAGTGACACTGGAGAACGCATGTGAATAATTAATTAGGTGTTAAAACTATCTTTGAATGATTATTACAGGGACAATGGAAGCTAAGTGAATAAATAAATTATTAGATAAATTTGACATAGAATGTTTTTTTTTATAATAAGACGAATCGCATGAATAAACACAACAGATGATTGTGTTTTAAGTGACCATGGAGGACAGCTGGGCTATTTGATGAGAGTAGAAAGTCCAGAAAGAACCGATATAAGCACAATTTAATTGAGATAAATGTTGGACAATAATAAGATACAGAGCGCTGTATTTGGCTTATATGACCATAGAGGACAGCTATGAATTGTGATTAATAAGAACAAATTATGTTAACTAGCAAAGATTCGAGATGAGGGTGAAAAATAGAAGATTATGAGGCAATAATTGCTTGTGTATGAATTAATAATGGAAAACGACTTGAATAAGTATAAGAAGAACTTGAATGGCACTTAAAAGAGTTATGTGATGACAAAGTGAAGAACAATTGAGTTACGAACAATTTGAAGTATTTGACTATAAAGAAAAAGTCGGTCCTGGGACAAGGACAATAAGTTATTACAAGCACCAATTAAATAAACTGTATGTTAAATAAGACCATAAAATAACTTAAAGAGCTAGAAGTGGAAACATAATGTAGTCACAAACTAATCAAGATTTAAGTGTTTAAAGTCATGTGGCTTTGATATGATTTATGATATCTGTAAATAAGATAAATGAATGAATATGTGTGTGGTTTTTGACCGCAAATGGCAAAAACTCAAAGCTTGAGGTTGAGCTGGAATGAATTTATGTTTAAAGTCAATAAGACTTGGCGTACTGCCATATCTATTAAACTGAACTAAATAAAGTGTACTTCCGAAATAAAATCTTTAAAATCTTTTTATATATATTGCGTACACTCGCAAACACTTGGCTGCCATTTGAAGCAAAGACCAATTAAATATTTGCCAAACACTTGAGGGCTCTTAAGGGACTGCATAATAAAGGCGTGATAAAATGTCCAAACTGTGCACAAACTGTGTTAAAAATGAATATATATATAAATTAACACTGTGTTCACAAAAATGTTTTTTTGTAACACGCGCGATTGGAGTCAATGAATTTGTGGGCGAACAAAAAGTTGAAATCTTTAATTCATATTTTTATTTTGCTAATGCGGTTTTAAATTGATGCAATTGTGTGTGTGTTTGAGTGTACTTTCTAAGCGGGCTTTTGGTGTGGTTTATTTATTTTTTATTTAATGGCAAATATTTATTCAATTTTTGCATAATTTGTGTGTCCAACGCGTTCGATGAACTCTGCAGTTTGTCGTTGTCGTTGTCGTTGTTGCGGGCAATAAATTAAGTTAGCGCCGCGGGAAAAGTAATTTTTTATTATTGCCACAAGCGAGCCAAAAAAAAAGGATGGTTTTTAATATTTTAACGCGTCTCTTTTTTTTTTTAATTTTATTTCTTTCAGTTTGTTTGCACTTTTTTGTTGTTTTCATTTGCTTTTTATTGAAATGTAATTTTAATTAACACTTACGCCTCGGGGCAAATGCATATTGACACGCCGAACTTTACAACTATGTTGCCAGCTCTTAATTAGTTCTTTTTTTTTTTTTTGTATATATATATACAATTTGTTTTTATTTATTTTTGTTGATCTGATAGTTTTGCTATTCGATTAATTATGTGAATTGTACAGCGCGTGGTTGGTTTTTTAGCAGCGCTCCAGCAGCGTCTAGAGTAGAAATGAAATTGCACTGGGAACTGGCGCTGGTCGCGGCTTAAATATAAAAAAAATCAAAGAAAAAAAATAAATTTGTGCTACAGTGAAACGTGCCACAGCGCGAAATGTTAACTTTAAGCCTCAACTGAGAGTGCAACAGAGCGAGAGGCAGCAATAGTGAGCGAGCGAGATAGCAGGTGTAACAGCAGCAGCAACAACAGCAACAGCAACAACAACAACAACAAATGTAATGACATGAAGTTGCCGAGTTGGAAGTAAATGAAATAAAAACATAATCAACACACACCGGCTGCAAAACTTGACCAGCTTTTGTTGATCAGAGAGGGAGAGTGCGAGAGATGGAGAGGGGGGGGGGGGCGCTGCTCAGCTTGGTGGTTTTGTATGTGCAGAGTGCGACAACAAACGCTGGCGCTAGCGTTGCGGCAAGTGCTTCAAAGCGTGGCATAAACATTGCAACCGCTGCCCGTTTAAGCGACTCACGAATGCGCTGCAATATTTTAGAAGCTTATCAAAGAGACGGCAACAGAGAGCGAGCTTTAAGCAGCGCTTAAAGCTTTTGTGGCAGCTTAATTGTATCCACGGAATACGTAAGGCTTTCAAGCGCTTTTTAAGATGTTATCTTAATAATGTTCATAATGATATTGCGATGACTTAAAAATATAGATGAATTTACATTATACCAAATAATTACTTACAAGACTAATTCCTTAGGTTTGCTTCTATTTTATATTTTATTATAAAACTATTAAAATAAATTCCTTAGGGCTATATATTTTCTATTTATAGACATATTAATGCATAGATATATATATATATATATATATATATAGATTTAAACTTCCAAATAGTGCCAATATCGGACTTTTCTTTGGGATTTTCTATAAAGTTTTAACAGTACCTCGCCAAACTGGTTCCCATTTGCTCTTCATGTAGATAACTTCTGCTCGATAAAATATAGCAACTATTCCAAAAAGTCTATAAAATTCCAACCAAAATGAGTAAAATAGTTCTACAATTATTTAAGTACCAACTTGCAGTATTTGCCTGCAGCTTAAACTCAAAATATTATATTTATTTCTCTTTTAAATGTTTTTCTTGACAATAAGCCGCAGCGGGAATTGTGCAGGGTGCTTAGCTCTTGACTGATAGTGAAAATACAACTCGTATAACAACAATAAAGACAACAATTACAACAACAACAATAGCAACAACAACAACAACGAACGCAAACGCACAGCGGCAATCACATTAGCAAGACAATCTGGAAAATACTCACACAATAAGCAAGAGGCGCACCGAGAGCGATGGGAACCGCCTCGAATACATGCCAACCACATTGTGAAAAGCCGCCAAACATGTAGCCCAGTGGGTGGGGTGGGTATAGGGGAAGTGGGGGGTCTAAGCCGGGCAGGTTGGGGCTCGGCAACTGGCAGCGCCAAAGTCAAAAGCGTAATTGAAGCTTGTGCCTCAGTTAAACGCAGGCGATTATGTCTGCTGGCTTTTCATGGCAAGCCGCGACAGCCGCGACAGCCGCAGACAACAGACAAGCAACAACAACAACAACAATTGGCAGCAGGTTCAACTTGCCACAAGGATTATGCCGCCTGAAGCTGCTTCCTGGTTGCCTCAAAAGCCCGCAACCGAAACTGTAACCGTAACGTTAACCAAAAACCGAAAACTAAACTGAAACTCGACACCGAAAGCCGAACAAAATATTTGATTTTACCAATTGGCTCTTAACGAAGTCATCATAAATTGAGCTGTCTGGCACGTTGAAATATGTCGCCATTTGAGCGGACCAAAAGCCCCCCTCTCCTCCCCCTACCCACTACCTACTCCCCCTCGCCGGAATTGACAGTTTTTGACTGTGGCAATTTAAATGTGCAACGAGCCAGCGACAACGAACAGCAACAAGCAGCAGTCATGATATTGCAATTGAGTTGATTGGCATTGCCATTCTGGCCAGCGGCCTATTACATCTAATCGGTAATCCATCTCATGCAGGAAGCGCCAACAGTAAAAGCAAAGTAATGCTAAAGGCCTAATGAGATAAGGCATTTCATCATTAAAATCATTTGGGATAGGATTTTCATAACCATCTAACAACATGTCGAAAATGCTTAAAAAGAAAGTCACAATTGAACTTATTAGGTTTTGAGTTAAAGAAATTAAATGAACGTCAATCAGATATACGTGCCAGATAAATCTTTAAAAACTCCCAAAAGCTACAATAAATCAAAAGCTTATATAAATATTAAAATTGAGCTTACATATCCTATTTCAAAGCTATCCAACAATATGTCGTAAACTCTTGAAAAAAGCTGCAATTGAGCGTAAAAGGTTTTGAGTACAAGCAATAACTTGACTTAAATCTTAAAGCTTTGGCAACAACTTTCTAGCTCTCGAAAGCAACAAGAAGTTTATGGAAGTATTAAAATTAGTCTTTCTAAAGCTCAAGAAGTTTTGTTCTATTTTATAACTATTGAAGAATATGTCTAAAATGCTCAAAAAGAAGTTCATAATTGAGCTCAAAATATTTTGAGTAATTGCTTGCTTAATTATCCAGCTTTTGAGAGAAATTAACTAAAATACTTACCTCTAATATCACATTAAAGCTGCAAGCAAGCTTAAAGTAGAATATACTGGTTTATTTACAAAGCTATATATTTTGGTTTTGGTCTGTTTTATTTTTAAATCAAAATAGACTTTTAAAAGCACGTGAACGTTCTTAAAGCTTCACTTAAAGCTGTGGTGTGGCTTAAAGCTTTTAAACATTAAAATTAAGATTGAATATGAAATGAACGCACTTAAAGCTCAACTCAAAGCTTTTTTAATATTTGAATCTGGTTTAAGATGTTCTTTTCCTAAATTTAGAATAGGATTTAACGCACATGAATATTTCTGAAAGCTTTTTTATATTACGGTGTGCTTTGAAGCTTTTATAAGTATAAAAAAAAATGTATTGTACATTAAAATCTTTCAAGATCAACTTAGAGCTTTTTAAATATTTTGGTATTATAATTGCTTGTTCAAAAATGTAGAATAAAGCTTGAAAGCACATGCACGTCCTTAAAGCTCAACTTAAAGCTTTTAATATATTTTGGAGTGCTTTTGAGATTTTTTTTTCAATTAAAAGCACATGAACGTGCTCAGTTTCTGCTATTAGGCTGACTAAGATCTTAAAGCCTTGCGCTTCAGCTTTACGCAACTCTTTTTAATTAATGGGCATTTTCTGCAGTTGCAATAAATATAATTTAGTATTAAACCGTTGCTACCAAAGGTGTTTCACGTGCAGTCAATAGAGCACCTAGTGCAACGCGTCTTCAACTGGTTTTGGACGCATTTTCCGGCCACCCGCATTGCATAACAGCAACAGCTAAAAATAATGGCCAAAAACGACACTTGCAGTTGGTCAGCAGCTCATCCATTTGTTAACTGGACGGCAACCAAAACATTTTCCGCACAAGTTAGCAGCTGGAAGACACACAAAAAAAAATGAAAAGAAACGCAACAAGCAAAGCGTTTTCACTTTTCTTCGGCCATGATATAACATTTGTGATATATATAATTGGTGTAAAGATAAATATTTATATGTAATATATACATATTTCTTTAATGATTTATTGGCCAGGCCAACTGGCCTGCAATTGCAGAGTTTTCTGAGTACATTTTTGTTGCTTTTTTGGTATTGTTGGCAATTAAATTGGATGATATAATCGCCGTCAAGTGTTGGCTCTCATAATAGAGTCAAAATCCCAATGCTTGAGTAAACAAATTGCGACCGGTTGCCGTTTACCGGGTCCGACTACGGCTTTTGGCGCCCGGTTGCGCGGCGTATACATAATGGAAGTGTTGCCAAGTGTCAAAAGGAAGAAAATACATATTATTAATTGAACAGCACAGAGCATTGCACCAAAATCGTTTGTTGGCCGGGTCATTAGCAGCAAATTAAGTGAATGTGACAACGAGCAGCAGCAGCAGCAGCAGCGACAGCAGCAGCAGCCACAAAGCAAACAAACAACAAACGGAAACAAAAAGGAAAAACAACGTGCAACATTAACAACTTGCAACAACTTGGCTGAAAGCCTTTCAATCAATCTCAATGTCAATATTTGTGCAATAAAAACTGGCGCAAGGCCAAGGGACGCGCTCGCTCAATCAATTGGCCAAGCGAATTGGCCCATTCGTTGAGGCCACATTTGGCTAACCTGTTGGCCAAGCGGCGCCACAAAGAAATAACACAAGAAATGAGTGAAACGAAAGCCTTTCGCTTTCCAACGAGGGTCTTTTCTAGACTTTTCGCTGATTTGAGCCGAATTTAATTTGAATGCGTAACAATTTGTGGGCCTATTTTGGTTTTTAAGAACTTAATTGGAATTTGTAAGATTTTATAGGCATTTTTATTGTCGCTTGGTTTTAGAGAAGTGCCTCTAGTACTAAATAAAAATAAATTTATGTATAGAAAAACACGTTTATTTCCTTTATTTTTTAAGTTTCTTTTTTATTTATAAAGTTTCTCTTTTAATGCAAACTCAAATGTTGTATTTAGGCATAGGAAATGTTAGCTGCTTGGAAGAGTTTTTCATACCTCTAAGATCTAAATTACGCAGTCATCCTATTTTTTATAAATCTTGTCGCCCAAGCCTCATAAGTCAGGTCAATATCAAAGCTCGTAGTATCGATGCGGTCTTTATTATTTCAACATCGATTACACTCGCTTATTCAGATTTCGATAAATATCTTGCTTTAATCGAACACTTAAGTATTTATTATGAAAATTACAATATTTAAATTTAATTTAATTCTAAATTTTTATACTCTAGCAGAGGTAATTATAATTTTGTCTTGAAACGTGTAACGCATAAGCTTTTTTGGTTTTTCAAAATATATTGAACAAACATGGCTAATAGAAAAGGTTCGGTCTGCAAGGGTATTAAATGTTCGGCGTGCCGAAGATAGCCCTTCTTTCCCGTTTTTATATTTATTTTATTTTATATACCTATTATATTTTAACAAGTTTTACGAAACCTTCTATTAATATTTACATACATGGATACCGTAATTTTGATTTAAAACAGATTTTCGTGAAATATGCAAATTTAAATTAAAATATTTCACATTTGATTGAACTGATTGAGCTGCCCTCGCACGTACACACACACGCACACACAACCGACACACACATATGGTGAGCGTGTGCACTGAGCGTGGCGAAAAAGGATTATCGAATTGTAAGGCCCGGAAACCAATACATCAGCCTGTTGTCTTCATTTCCTTAACCAATAAATTTTCACTTAACTATGTCGGTCGCGAGAGGCATGCAACATACAATAGTTGTTGCTGTTGCATGTGGCAGCAGCATGTTGTCTCCGTGTTCATGTCGCGTTGAATCCGAATCGACCATTGTTTGCCGTTGTTGTTGTTGTTGTTGTTGTTGTTGTTGTTGCCGATGCTTTCTGTGTGTGACACAATTTTCCCGTTTGGCTCGTAAATTCAATTGACGGAAGCGCGTTAAAGTTGCAACAGCTGCGGCTCGCAAAATGTTGCACGGTCCGAAAAACTTGTCGCCAATATATTTATGCATATATATGTATGTGTACATATATTATGCATTTGCATATTGATCAGAGCCAATCAGCTACGCCAGCTCCCAGGCAGCGGCTTGTAATTTATGAACATGTTAAAGACACATTCGTGTCCTGGCCAAATGTGGTTGCCCCCCCACCCCGTCCCGAAAATCTCCTGACCGCCTGTCCTGCTGTTTGGCAAGGCCAGTGGGTAAACTGGTTTTTGCTGAGCCAAGTGGCAAGATATTTGGCAAGTTCAGCAAACTTTTGCTATTGCCACACAACAGCAGAGCGCTGAGCACTTGCCTTGATGGCCATAAATCCAAAGCTCTCTTGGCCACAAGACGTGCTGCACAGAGCACAAAATCTTACAAGATAGACTCCCCTCTACCGCCCCCTCCCACCCTTCTTTCCGCCACCCTCCCCTTAGCATGGACACCTGCAAAAAGCAACTCGGACTAAACCGAAACTAAAGTTTTTCTTCTTTTGGCTGCTCCACTTGCGTTGAAATAAACACCAATAAACACAAAGACACACACTCACACTCTCACACACACACACACACTCACACGCAGACTCTTGGCCACAAATGAACTCAATGCCACTTAGATTTATGGCCAGTCTCCGGTTGTGCGTGTGTATGTGTGTGTGTGTGTTTGTTGTGCTTTAGTTGCGTATGTCCATTTGCGGCTGTCTCTGCTTGTGTGCGTGTGTGTGTGTGTTTGTGGCAAGGTCATTCTGATGAAGTCAGCTAGTAATAGTTTTTTGCTCATATGTTTACCTTTAAGCCGCAACGCAACCAAATGTTAAATCAACTTTGCATTTGTCTTTTTACCTAGTTTTCGGAGCCGGCTCAAACAACAAATTTGTGGTTAAGCTGACAGCATTGAGATAAAGATAATAGATAAAGATAACAATGTTGCATCAATTAAGGCAGAATTGTTTTAAAAGAGAGTCTCAATTTAATAGAGTAATAAATAAAGTGAATGTTTTTTCCTGTATAATATTTAATGAGCGCTAAATTGGTGACGAAAATTTGCTTAGAATTTGTTGTTAAAACTAAAAATCCTAATTGAAAGATTCTGATTAATGTTCTAATAATAATACAAAGTTAAATTAATTTAAATTATATAAAAATACACTTTTTTTATATTAATTTTATTAATAATATCATTATTAATTTTTGAATAGAGTAAATTATTATTTTTATTATTAATATTAATATAATTATTGTCTTTAAATATACAAACATAAATTATTATTATTTTTGATTTTCCTGCAATGTGATCTCCTTTAAAATGCCAATGGACTATCATTGATTAATAAAAATAAAGCTTAATTTATGAGAAAGCGCTTTGAAACTTAAAGCAACAATAAAGCTCACTTACAGCTTAAAGCTTGACTTACCATTTTCCGCTCGATCGAATCCATTCACTTGTCTCATTTAAAAGCTTTAAGAGCTTTACGCTGCAGCAAGCTTTGAGGATACTTACAACCTCATTGAGAGCACGTTGACAGTTTAAAGCCTAGGTTACAAGTTGGATTGGCGTGTCATATTGCGATTATTTCCTTTAATTGAGGCACAAAAGAACTCATTAAAATTGTACGCGGCCTTTTCCGTTTTTCCCATTATTCAATAATGTAGGCGCTGAGCTTTTTGAGTTATTGTTGACTGCTGCCCGACAAGCTGTGAAAATTGAGTCGTTGCGTTGTGACTTTTCAGAATGCAATGAAAATAGCCGCAAGGCATATCGCATGGCAATTCATTTCCCGAATGCCAGCCAGTCAATCAATTGGTCAATCCGCGCGGATTGGCTGCAGTTAATGCGACGATCCATAAATATGGCAGTAAATGCGCATATTAAAGAGCGGACATTAAACAATGCCGTTTTCATAGGCCGCCACAAGCTAATTAATAATTGAAAATGCGCAATAAAAGCATTTTCCACCCCACACCCCTCCCCCTCCCCCTTCCCCTTTAGCCGCACACACCCCTTGCAGTCAGCTGGAAAAACTGCATAATTGAAACGGATTAAAGCAAATACAAACATAATAAAAAACAGAAGAGGCGGCAAAAGATTTTTCACTCATCTTCTTCTTGGTTTTTGTTGTTGTTGTTTTTCCTTGTTTTTCTTTTCTTTGTATAATTCAGATTACACTTTATTGTTAAGAATGAATTGAATTATTTAGTTTTTTTTTGTTTTTGTTATGTTTTGTTTTCCATTTTTCTCTTTAGTTGCTTGCGTTTTATCATTCTTTAAAGTTATCTTCAACTTTCTTTGAATTGGTTTTTATTTTGTTGTTGTTTTGTTGTGATTGGTTTTTAATCATAATAATAATCGTAATAATCATAATAATAATCATAATAATGCAGCATACACATATGTATGCTCTTCTGCCTGCATTTATATATATATACATATATATAGTCCATATATATATATATATATACGATATATGTGTGTGTACTTTGTATATATGCATGTATGTATAGAGACACAGTTTATATAATTCGATTTACCTAAAAAACAATTTACAAATATATAAAAAACGAATTCATCTAGTTAAACTAAATTATGTAAGCATATAAAAAACGATTTATACGTTAAGTATATATACATATATGTATGTATGTATATATGTATATATATATATATATAAATTTTATTGTTTATGCTCTTAAGTTTCATCTTTTTTTTTTCATCTGCTGCGCTTTGTTTTGAGTTTTGCTTATTTTGCTTTTTTCATACCCTGATTAAAAACGTGTGGGGGAAGGGTATAAAAAAGTTGTGCTCACTGCAAATTCTTTTTGCTCGTCTATTTTTTTACTGCTGCTGCTGCTGCTGTCAAACTGTTAGCAATTTTCCTTATATAAGAAAGCAAAAATTGTTTACAACTGCGCAATAAATATTAATTTTTTCCAGTGCTTTATGTATGTAGCTGTGTTTTATTTATGCACGCGTCAAAAAAAGCATTTAAAAAAACATTAAACAAAGCGTAATATGTATAACATGCAGGTGAAATACAAATATTACCAAAATAGACAGCAAAATAGACTGCAAAGAAAAGAAAACGAAGGAAAGAAATAAACAAACAAAATGTTGCGCATACGCCGCGTTGTGCAGGAAACAGGCTGCGTGTGTGTGTGTGTGTGTGGTGTGCCTGTGTTTGTGTGAGAGAGAGTGTTGAAATATTGCAAGGATATTTGATGTTGAAAAACACAGTGCTGACAACTGCTTGGCGAACAGCAAAAGTAAATGCGCTGTCAAACGTAACAAGTACAGTGTGCGCTGCCTACGGTAAACAACGGCTTGGGCCTGTTTAACGGCGAGAAAGAGTTGCTTTGCTTTATGTATGCAGCACATGTTGTTCTGCCTTAGGCAGCGCACACTGTACTAACGCCCTGATGCCTTTAGTAGGTATTGCTTTAGGTATTTGTATTTAAACTAAAGTCAGCTGCCTGCTCATCATTTATAACTGTCAGTTGCAGTTGCTGGACCTATATGTATGTGTGTGTGTGTGGTGTGTGTGTGTGAGTGTGTGTGGCATGTATATATGCAATGTGCAACAGTCGTACTACGACTACACTTAATCATATATCATAATGAATGAATTAATTCAGCTGCTTTCATATGAGTTTTTCCGTTAGTTTTTCTTTCATTTTTTTTTTTTGTATATATTTTCAGTTTTTCTCATTTTATTTTCTCATGTTTATAGGGGGAGTTTCTTGTTGTGTTTTTTTTTATTCTTTTCTTCATCTGCTTCTCGTTTGTTTATATTGTAAATATTGTAACATAATAATATGCCATTATATGCTAAATTTAAATTTAGATTTACTCGTGTTGTTTTTTTCTTTTTTTCTTCTTCTTCTTCTCTCATTTTTATGTTTATTAAAAATTTAACCATTTTTTTTTCTTTGCACTAAAAACTTAGCATAAAAATTTAACAATATATATATTTATTTCTTGTATATATATTTTATATAGATACTTTTTGTTTTTTGTTTGTTTTTTTTCTTTGCTCAACTCAACTTTTAACTTTTGTTGTTGTTCTTCTTGTTGTCTATTTGTTGCTGCTGCTGCTTCTCTTCAGTTGAGTTTTCTTTATTTAACAATATTTTTCTTTCTTTTTGAATTATTTATTTCATGTTCTCTTGCCGGGCTATCGCCTAAAGTTTGCCATTTGAAAGCTGCTCCCTTGCTTTGTATAAATTATAACTAAATTTTATTCGCTATATATATATATATAATATATATATGTATATATGTGGTGTATATATATAAAGTATTTACTTAATTTTTGTTGTGTTTTGTTTGTTTTTCTTTTTCATTTTAAGGCCAAAAATGTCAAACGTAATTTGGTTAATTCACTTATCTCAATTGTTTAAACAAAACGAAAGCAGCCAAACAAATTATTCTAGACGCCGGGCATGAAAGCCGAAAGCCGAAAAGAAAGTGAATTAATTGTGGAATTGCGATTGGTAATTTATTATTTATATATATGTGTTTAATTGTCGCTTTTGCATTTCTCATTGCTGTTGCTTGCATACATTTAATTATAGTTTATATAATTAGTTTATTTAATAATATTTGCCTGCCTGTTGTGGGGAAAAAGGATGCGCTTTTCTTTTGCCTGTCTACCAAAAATTTCATATGCTAATTGCAATTTAGTAAAAAAGTACTATATATATATATATATATATATATGTTGTTTTTGTTTTTGATTCTTGCGGATTGGTAGGAAGCAGCATGAAGGGAGCGGTTCGGAGCGGGGGGAGGAGGGCATTTAAGACACACCAATTATCACCTACTATCCAAAGTTGGTTGTTGTTGTTGTTGTTCTTGTTCTTGTTTAATGCTAGTTTAACTAATGTAAAGTGTGTGTGTGTGTGTGTGAGTGTGTGCAACGTCTTTGTGTAGTCAGTCGTTTAATTTACCAGAAAGAACGAAACATAACTTAACAAACAAATCAAATAATCTAAAACCAAATTGCTTTGTCTTTAAATGTTGTTTTTTTTTCTTTTTTGTGGGCGTGTTGTGGGCGGTTCAGGTGTGAGGAGTGGCGCGGGGAGCTGTCCGGGTTGTGGCGTGCGGTCCATCAGTCTGTTTGGTATTTTTTTCGTATTTTTGTTTTATTTTTTTTTTTTTTTTTTTTTTAATATATGTATTTATTTTGTAATTTTTGTTTGCTTAAAACAATAAACTTGTAACTTGATATTACGTGTAGGCTCATCGCATATAATTTTTCCATTCCTTACTTTCCTTTTACATAATTATTTATTACATGTTTTATTTATTTTGTTTTTTTCGTTTCGTTTTATATGTATTGTATTGTATATCAAAAGTTTTTGTTTTTGTTTTTGTTTTTTGTGTTAGCTAAACTATTAAAGTCTGTTAATGCTTATGTTTTGTTTTTAATTAAATCTACTAAACCTTGGAACCGGAATTTGGGATTTGCTACCATGCTAAAAATATGATTTATGATTAAACGAAAAATTTATTTCAAAAGCTGTTTTCATTTTCTCTTTTTCAACAGAATATTTTTGCATAATTCTGTTTTTGTTGTTGTTGTATGTGCTGTAAGTTTTCGTGTTTGTTTAAAGTTTAACGTAAATATAATTGTAAATATTTGTAATTGCATTAATCATAATTATATAAGAACACATTTTTCCGAGATATTCGATTTTTGTTTTTGTTTTCTTTTTCTTTACATAAATGTTGCATTATGTATACGTAGAATCATATAAAAAATGATAATATTTAAGACATATATATATATATTTAGATATATATATATATATATATATATTGTATATATAATACACATGTTTAGTTTACAACAAAAGGCAGAGACAACCTAGAGGGTTAGCGGTGTGTTTCTTTTTCGGGGGAGGGGTCGGGGGCCGGGTAGTAGGTCGCGCTGGGTTTCTAGGTACAATACAATAAAATCAAGCTGAGCTCAGTTTACAAAATAGATACGCAAATTTTGGTATAGAAACAAGAAAAACCTTTTTCTAGTTTGTTTTTTTTTTCTTCTCTTTTTTGTTTAAGTACTTGGCTAAGGGGCGTGGCTATTTAGCAGTGTTGTAAAACGTATCTAACTGAAAACTGTTGTGTTTCATTATTTTGTTTAGTTTTGTTTTTTTATGTATGTTTTTTCTTTTATCTTGAAAACTTTTGCTAAAATGCATTTTGACTTTTACTTTTTGTATATTTTGTCTATGAAGCGAAAGATTAACTGAGTTACGTTTTATTTGAATTTTCTTCATATTTTATTTACTGTTTTTTTGTTTACTCATTTATTTAGCCTGGTTTTAACTCTGTTTTTTTCTCTTGCCTAGAAAAAAGTATATATAATATTTTTGAAATATTTTTTTTCTTTTTTTTTTTGTTTTGTTTGTAGCTTGCTTTATGTAATTTTAAGTGAGTCCTCGGCCAGGATCACATCCTTGGTTGTATGCTAGCTTAAATGATGATAAAGTTGGTTTTTCCTTTCTGTTGTTGCTTGTTGTTGTTGCTTGTTGTTATTGTTGTTGCTGTTATTGTTGTTGTTGTTGTTGTTGCCGCTTCAGTCCTCCAGCTGCAGCTGATGCACGGGTGATGTTGCAGTTGCCGTTGCCGCTGCCGTTGCCGTTGCCAATATTTCGAGCGGACAGCCGGCAGCAACATCTGCGACAGAACCGGTTGACGTATCCGTAAAAAGCGGCTCTGGTTATGTCAGATCCTGTTGTGAATCTATTGAGAATAGCTCCTTGTATAGCGCTGGGAATACAACATTCGGATGCTGTTGCTTAAATTTGCTCAACGCTTCCATGTGCAAAATCGAAATATCGCTACGAAAACAACAAGATCACAATTAGGTGTCATACATAGAGAGAAAGTTTGCTTTTAGCTAACCGGAAATTGGGTATATTATTGAGGAGCGTGTCCAGCACGGTCACATCGCCCTTGAGCGGCGCATGATTCGTTTCCAGCTCCTGCCGTATTGCATTCATGCTCAGATTGAAAAGCCTCTGTATTTCCGTATTGCCGCGCACTCCATTGCGTTCTAAAAAAGAGTTCATTTCAGTTAATGCGAATCGAATGCATATATTTTTGTTGTAGACTCACCTGGCCAGAGCAGCACTAGACTCTGATATAGCGCCAGTTCGGTTTCAGTCAGTTTAAGTTCGGCTATCGATTTAGCCGTTTGGAAAATGCGCGACACCAGACGCATCTCATCCGAGTCGGATGTGTAGAATGCCTCCTGCGGCAGCATCACATCGCCATACAGCACAGCGTTCTGTGAGAGATCTAGCAATCTGGACATGCGAACAATCGCCAGCTCGAATGAGCCCGTCTTCAGCAATAATATCTGCAAGGAGCGCAATCCGTTTAGTTCAATTCACATATCAAACAGATATTAAGTTCTAGAACTCACCTGATCATCCTGACTGAGGCGCATGAAGCCCGGTATTAGCTTTGCAAATTCGATTATATTCTGTATCATTTGTGTCAGCTTCTCGGCGCAGTCCAGCCAGAGCTCCTCTTGGCCCAGATTTTTGTAATAGAGTATGCGTGATAGATCCTGCAATGAGAGAGTATCAAACATTTAATATGTATAATTAATATAAATATATTTAAAGTATTTTATGGCATATTAAAAACTAATGACCTTTTGTTGTTTATAATAAGACTGATCTTTACCAAAATCTTTTATGCTGCTAAGAACTATCTGCGAACATTATGAGAATTAAATTATAGACTAATCTCTTCTCGCAAATTTACACAGCTTTGTCTAATGGAAGCAAGGATATTTCGGATAGTCTTATCTTTAAAGATATATTAAAGAAAATTTAAGAAAATTGTAATTTTCTTTGATATAGCCTCAAAATAGATTAGATTATTCGAAATATCCTAATTTTATTATTCGCTTCTGCTTGATGTTCTAACTTCGTGTTTCCTATAATTTTTTGCATTTCAGATCAAGAAAATTTCTTCTATATATTAAAAAATAATAATATATATATGCTATATGGAATAACATAGTGTTGAATCTCTTCCCTAAATGGAATATCTATATTTATACCGTTTTAAAGGATTATTTCATGCTTACAATAACAAATCTATCTGTATCCATATATCTGTATCTATCTATCTATATTTCTATCAATCTATCAATCGAATTATCTATTTATCTATATATCTATATATTAATCTATTTATCAATCTATCTATCAATCCATCTATCTATCAATCTATCTATCTATCTATTTGTCATTTTTATTCCTTAAAATCCCTGGTATATCTTTTCATTTGGAAAAGTAAATCTCGATACATTTTGACTCGTTTTCGTTTTGCTGATCCGATGCTGATGCCGAGTGAATCAGAATCAATTTCGAATCGTTTTCATTTCTAATTTAATTCCTATTTTTAATTAGAAATCGTTTTCTCTCCTACTCGATACCAATCGGTAGCTGCTAGCAAGGCTGATACTCTTGCAGTTGGTATTATAATCTTAGCATGAAATGTATATTGCATAGAAGAAGACATCTCCAATCCTATTAAGTATATAGATTCTAAGCCAGCATAAACAGCCTTCCGTCCGTCTGTCTGTTTCTATGCGAACTAGTCTCTCAGGTTAAAAGTTATCGTCCCGAGACTTTGCATAGATACGTCTTTCGGTTGCAGGCAGTATACATGTCGGAACCCGCCGGATCGTTGCTCTATATCATATAGCTGTCGTAGGAATGATCAGTCTAAAAGCAGGTTCAAAGTCCTATCAATATCGGTCAACACTATCGTATAGCTGGAATTTGAAAAACTTCTTTGTTTATAAATATATCTTGACCAAACCCGACATTTACTAGTTTAACAATGTCTACTTTATATGATTGAAATCTTATTAAGTTGGCAGTTCTATATTATATAGCCCAATAAGAAAAAAAGGTAGAATAATAGAATCTTGTATTGATGAAAATATCTCTAGATCTCCGCTTTATAGATCTTGTAAAATCTACCCTCTCAACTACTACGTAAAGATCTCTGTAGTAATCATATGCACTCCACTTCTATTGCCAATTTGATCTGATTACTTTTAGTTGCCCCTTTACACACCTGAGGCTTTCGGAACATGTCATGCACAGATTCCAGTTTGGTATTTGTATTTGCATGCGCCTCCGACAGGGTTTTGATCAGCACCTCGTTGATATCGCCATCCGCTGTGAAATAGAAGTGGGAATACGCATTATTAAACCGACTGCCTAGATGGCTTATTGAAGGAGATCGTGAGATACCATGACTTATAAATTCGGGATCGATCATTGTACTGCGCGGCTCGTAGGTGGTGCTGTCCACATAGTCGGCCGATATATCGTATTGCATGGTCTGCTGCGGCGTCACCGATGCCGAGTAGCCGTAGGGACTGCCGTAGCCGACCTCGTTGCTGGAGTAGCCGCCGCTGTAGCTGTGAAAGAAGGGCAGAAGACCCATAAATACAAGTAGTGTATTCAATATTTGACAAATGTCTGTGTAAGCATCGATACTGCACCTGTTGTAGTTGTTGTGCTGCAGCTGATCGCTGCTAGAGGGCGTTTGTGTGTCGTACACGGAACTATCCGGTGCCGCGTCGCTCTGGGCTCGCATCTGGGCGCGATGGAATCGGACCTCGTCCTCGACCTTCTCGCGCTGCTTCTTGGACATTCTGCCGAATTTTACAGCTGCAAAACACAAAGTTGAAAATTACTTAAGAATCTATCCCAAAGATTGCTTTGCTGTTTGTGTGAACTGCGGTCTTGTGGTCTGCCTGCATCATACCATCACGACTCATTCCCAATTTTAGGCACTTTTGCAGTCTACAGTATTGACAGCGATTCCGATTGACACGGTCCACAACGCATTGCTTGTTGCGCGGACACTGATAGTTAACCACGGAGCTCTGCGATCGCCGGAAGAAGCCCTTGCAGCCCTCACAGGTGATAACGCCGTAATGCACGCCCGATGATTTGTCGCCACAGACTTTGCATGGAATTATTTCAATTTGAGCTGCAAGCAAAAAAAAAGGTTTATTGTTATCAATTAGACATTTTCATCATTTCTTGAAGTAATAGAGCGCAAAACAAGTTGAAATGTGGCCTGGAACTAGTTTGAATATTAATCGATTTTTTATTTAATTGATTTAATGATATGAAGTTCCAATATATAGATTGGGATATTACTTAGATTAGACTTAGACTAAACAATAAATAGTAAAATATTTGAGTAGAAGAACTGTTAGCTCCCAATGAAATTCTCTATATCAAATTTTATGCCTTATGGCTTCGAGTCATCCACAAAGGTTCTTTATTTAAAAAAAATTAGAAAACCTTTTGAAAGGTTGTTCAAAAATAGAATAGAATCACGTAATTTCTGCCAATTATTCGTTATTTAAACAAAATTAGAAAACCTTCTGTTATATCTTATATTAACACGATTATAACTCGGGAAATATATATGCGATGATGGTCAAATTTGGTATACAGCGTGCTTATACAAAGTCTTGATAATATCAGATTAATACTTAGTCAAACTAATAAGTTTTTATGTTCTTAACGAAAAATAGGCAAAGATAAAGCTGCGATATAAATCCATCGAGGTCTCATCTAATATTGTGTAATATCTAATTAAGGATCTTTATTTAAACAAAATTAGAAAACCTTTTGCAGAGGTGCAAGGAAGCGAGAAGAGTTAGGAGATAATCGTATCTTATATTAACACGATCATAGCTCGGGAAATATATGCGCTATAATGTTTAAGTTTGGCATATAGCGTGCTTATATATAGGTATGATAATAACAGATGAAAACTAAATCAAACTCATAATTATTTGAGCCTGATGGCAAACAGAATGAATCTAGGCCTCATATGAAAACATGTAATTTGAGCCTAGTTTTATTTATAATTTTATACGTGTTGTATTTAGTTAGTTTAAGGCATTCCACAAACACGAAACAATGGACAATTGCGACTATTTTGGCGGCGTAAGTTGCCGTCAGGCTAGTGTATTGAAAGATCTCTAGAATAGTTCAGCCCGCAGACCACAATTATCGCCGTCGAGTTCGATGGAGGCGTTGTTATGGGCGCCGATTCGCGCACTAGCTGCAGGACATATGTCTCGAATCGGTCGGCCGACAAGCTGACACGGATCACGGATCATATATACTGTTGCCGGAGCGGGTCCGCCTCCCAGACTCAGACGCTGGCCAACACGGTCGCCTACGCGATGAACTACTACGAGTGCAGCGTGGGCGAGCCGGCGCTGGTCCGCGATGCGGCTGTCCATTTCCGGAACAAGATCTACGAGTCGCGCCAGTCGATGATGGCCAGCATCATAGTCGCCGGCTGGGACAGATGCCACGGCGGCCAGGTGTACAGTGTGCCCATCAGCGGACTCATGGTGCACGAACCCTGCGCCGTTGCCGGCTCCGGCGCGGCCTATATCCAGGGCTTTGTCACCGCCCACTACAGACCCGGCATGCAGCAGGCGGAAACCGTGGAGCTGGTCAAGAGCGCCGTCCAGCTGGCCATCCAGCACGACTGCAGCTCCGGCGGCATCGTCCGAGTTGGCGTCATCAACGAGTACGGCATGGACGCGTGCATCTGCTGCGACAAGGATCCCGAAATGGTCAAGTATGCCAACACAATTCTGTGGAATCTTGAATTCGGCGTTTGGTGATACGTCTCAAATCTTAGCTTGTGTCGATATTATAGATTTTTATATTATCCACCGACGTTTCTCTTAACTAGGGAGTTTACTTGGGAATATTACATATATATTATATAAATATATATATATATATATATATATATATCGATTCTTATGGCCAGATAAACTGTTATTGTTTTTATAAAGCTAACTTGCTGGTCGAAACATTTAAGATCTTTTCCCTATCCAAGCCTAGAAAAAAGATATTAACATCGGGAAATTCGGGTTTTTTTCTCAATTTATAGTATAATCAGAAAATCTCAGCACAATTCTGTGGAATCTTGAATTTGGCGTTTGGTAATACGTTTGAAGTCTAAGCTAGTGCAGATGTAGATTTTTATATTTTCACCTGGGGTTTCTCTTAATTGTTGGACATGGAAATTTGAAGGTTTATTCAGCTGCATGCTTGGGAATACTACATATAATTTTTATATATATTTCGATTCGTATTGCAAGCTAAACTGTTATAGTTTCTTTAGAGCTATCTTTCTGGCCGTTTACCTATCCAAGCCTAGAAGTTTGCTTACATATTGAAAAAGTTTGCAGTATAAACTTTTATAATCTTTTTTTCTATGCGTTCCCATATTTTTACCCATATTGAAGTATATAGTATACAATTTATTTTTTATTTAATTATCAATATCTTTTTGGTTTTCTAAGGTATTATTTATTTGATCATATTCGTATATAATTTCCATTATATAAAACTTCACAAATCACTTATAGAATCCTCTTAAGAACATCTTATTCCTAAAATTACTCAAAACTTTTTGCTTTCTTGCCTTTTCATTTTTGATTTTATTTTATTTCTTTAATTTTAGATAAATTGGAGTCTCAGTAGACCTTTAGTTTCTCTAAGATTTATTTTATATAGGTTGCAAAACATCCTTATAAAATCGAACTAGCACAGCTCAATTTGCAAAACTTGTCGACACACTTAAATGAATCTCATACAAATTTTTTTAGTCACGTTATTTCTAGAGTTAAATATTGTCGGTCATTTATATTTTTAATAATATTCATATAAATCTCTCAAAAACTTGGTACAGTTGCCTCTTCGCAATGCAGTTTATATTCGAAACCTATTTAGATATATCGCATTTAACTCTAAATAAGTTATTAGATAAGTTAATTTGGGAAAAAAAAAAGAAGTAAAACGGGGCTCAAATTGCTTTGTAACATTTTACAGGCTATTCAATTGTGCTCGGAGTTGGGGCAATACTTTGTTCCGGCTGCTGCTACTTGTTGGCCCCGTGGTCGGGGCTAATTCGGGGCCCATTAACTGTAGCCATATGGCCCATAGAGAGCCATGCAAATTGAAGTTCTCGTGGCAAGCGGAATTTGCCACAATGCGCCATTAGGAATATTAGTTGGGTTTAGTAGGTTGTCCATTGTCGTGGCTGAACAATGCCAACGCGCCGAAGAACTAAGTACTTATTACGCAATAAGAATGCAGGCACTGAGAAAAATATATGGTGAATTGTTGTCAACAACAAAGCCTATGAAAAGACAAATTTTAACTGAATGAGTGCTTTTAAAGTGTTCCATAAAACAAATTTTATGTTGTATAGCAAAACTTTATAAAAAGATTTAATTTATTTAGATTTTAAAATCAACTAGCAATTTTGTAAAGTGTATAAACAAAGCTGTCATTTTAGTTTAACTCACATTATAATTATTGTGAGCACACAAAAATTATAATTTTTTGACAAATTAATATTTGAATATTTCCCAAGTTCAATTAAAATTCTAGTCCGTTTTTTCGCTCTGTGTAGCCTGGCATAAAGCGTATTAAGAGTACCTTAAGCCACTTGTTTTGCCTAGACAATGGCACAAGTTGCTGCAGTTCAAGTAAATTGAGTGCATGTGTGTGTGTGTGTGTGTGTGTGTGCGACAGACAGCGACAGCTGTTGGGATTCCCTCGCAGCATGCAACAATCCTTTTCAACGCTGATGATGTAATTTCTTTAGCGGCAAACAAAGAGAGCAGCAGACGCATAAAGACCGTTGATCAACTGCAGCCAAAGACACGCACACGCACACACACACACATACACATACGTACGTGCACAAAAGAGAACTGGTTCTAGGCAGCGCTTTGATGCTGCAGACTGGGCCAAGCAGAGTTGATTATAACCAGCACCCGCGCTGCCAGCCCCCCCGCCCAGCGCACTTGCCTTTATAAGCGAATCCGCACTGCCGCTGTCGCGGTCGCTGCTGCTGCCTGGCACCGCGTATTGTGTAATCTAGCGCTTTGCGTATTTACCCACGAGGATGAAAGATGCGCGCTGAACCGAAAGCAGACAAACACAGACGCAGCCGGCAGCGACGCAGCAGCAGCAGCAGTAGCCGCGCAGCAGCAGCGACGCAGCAGCAGACAGGCGATGTTGTCGTCGCTGTCGCAGTACAAAAATGTGCCAAGCCGCTGACGTCGCTTTATGGTTGCTGCTGCCGCTGCTGCTGCATTGGGAGAAATGTGTGACAGTTGATGAGCGTCAGAGCGAATGAGTAAGAGACGTCTGTGTGCATGTGTGTGTGAAATGTTTTTCAAGTGTCAATGAACTTTTCCAACACGGCAGTAGCACACACCATAATACAAATCATACAACACTCGCACACACACAGACGCACAGGCATCCAACTGATTCTGGTGAGTGCGCGTTGCGAATGAAATAACAAAAACATATTGAAAAGAAAGTGCTGCTCTTTTGCTGCGCTCTCTTTGTTCTTAAGCATTATCGCTCTCTCATTCTCTTAAGCGGCGTGCATGGCGCGCTCTTAATGCCGTGCTCTTTGCCTGCCATTGCAATTGCAGCTTAATAGCAGCGCTCAGTGCAACAGACAGTTTTTGTTGTTTTTGTTTTTTGGCTATTTTCAAATGTGTGTCGTCACCAGCGGGCTGACTGCGACGACAGCGCGCAGGGGGTGGACGAGGCGGCGTTTGGCCGCTGTCAGCGTCGTCGTTAAGTTTTTTTTGTGTTTTGTTTGAGCATCGCTTAAAGCGCTTTAAAGTTGTAATTGTAATGTTCTCAGGCAAATGCGAAAAGCTTTGCGAGCTGTTAACCAAAATAAGTGAACACACACGCAAACAGACACATAACGAAACATACTGACAGACACATTCGTATGACAGTAAATCTTTATCTTTATCGGCTCTGCTGGAGCTGTAAATGTCTTTGCGTGTTTTTGAAGGCGGATAAGCAGAACATACACGTCTATATGTATGTGTGTATGTGCATATACACATACACATGCATGGCTTATGTATGCTTGACAACTTTACCGTTATGCAGGCACATAAA